GCGGCGGGGCGGCCCGCGCGGAGCCTGCCGTCCGTGGCAGCGCGGCGCTGAGCGTGCCGGGGTTACGCCGAGAGCAAAGTGAAACGTAAATAGCGGGAAACGAGAAGACGGCGCTTTTGCTCCTGGCAAGGGCCGGGGCCAGGCGGTGGAGAGAAGGGGCAAGCAAGGGAGAGGGCGAGGTAAAAAGCATTAAGATGCGTTTGTACGCGCACCAGCCGACCACGATGAAAGTAAACATTATGTTCTGAGCGCATCTACCAATAAGAGTTTTAAAATTAAAAACCGTAGATTAGATATGCCGGCGTTAATGAAATGGAGTATAGTATAATTTTTGTCCAGATTCAGTTGCATTTGTCAATGAAATCATTATACGTCTTTGTCCAAGGGTCCTGTCAACTGAAAGACACCCCTCCCCGCCCCCGGTCTTTGCTGGGAAATTCCAGTTCTTAACCTACAGGAAATCCATACTTCGTTTAGTGTCAGTGCCTGAATAATGTTACCGGGTTTCTCCTTTTTCACTGTAGCGGACGCTGCCCTTGGGCGGAGCCAAAGCTGTAGGCAGCGTTTTCCTACGGGAGGTGGAGCCGAAGAGTACGGGGCTCTCGGATTGTAGCAACGGAATAAAACATTTAAAAAGAGTTTGGGCCGAGCGTGGTGGTGTATGCATTTAATCCCAGCGCTCAGGAGGCTGAGGCAGGAAGATTGCCACGAGTTCGAGGCCAACCTGGGCTACATAGTGAGTTCAAGGCCAGCCTGAACTACGCAGTGAGACACTGTCTCAAGAAAAGAAAAAAAAGTTTGAGCAGAAGGTGCAGTGTTTTTTTTTGTTGTTGTTGTTTTGTTTTTGTTTTTGTTTTTGTTTTTGTTTTTAAGAAAAAAATGAGCTGGGGATATAGCTCAGCGGCACAAGTGCCTGCCTGGCAAGTGCAAGGTTCTGAGTTCGATTCCCAGCACCAAAAAAGAGAAAAAAGAAAAAAAAATGAAGCACTGTTTCTGTTAAGTAAAAATTTTGAGTGAAGAAATTATTTGGAGTGATTTTTTTTGCATTTAAGAAAGCTAAATTTATAATTATTACTTAGGAAAGATAACCAAAATCCAGTTACTTTTTGAGCTAATAACACCAAAAAATCTGCAGAAATGTTTTGTAGAGTTTAGCGTGAAACGCACATTAGAAATATCAAAACACCATGAAAGCAGACTATAATGCATTTCTTTAGATTATAGGCAAGGTTGAAACAGAACTAAATGGAAAGTTAACTTTTATCTCAAAAATTGACTACAGTCCGGCGTTCTAGTGCGTGCCTGTAATCCCAGCACTTGGGAGGCTGAGGCAGGAGGATCCTTGCGAGTTTGAGGCCAGCCTGGGCTACAAAGTGAGCTTAAAGCCAGCCTGAACTGCATAGCGAGACTCTGTCTCAAAAAGATTAAAAAAAAAAAAAAAATTACAGTTTGGCCCACGCCTCTGGAGACTGAGATAGGAGGATCGTCACAAGTTCAAAGCCACCTGGGTTACACTGCAAGATCCTATCTCAAAACAAAAGGAAACAAAAAAACTAAACAGAAAAAAAAAAAAAACCACAATGAACTACAAATTGCAAGTGAACTCCAAACCTGGTAAATTTGATTAAGGCTTTTTAGTTTAGGAAAGGAAAAATATAGTCTGTTGGAATGAATATAAAACTTCTCTGCTTTACTTACCTTCTGTGTGTATACTTATAGTAAGCACCGTGTGAAATAATTACCTGGTACCCAGCACAGTACCCAGATCCAACGGATTTCAATTTGGTGAGAAGTTTATATTCTACCCAACAACCTGGGGGCTCTATACTTGAATACTACCTGGAAGAGAAAATATTGGCTGTATTGGTGATACTGACCTACCAAATACAAGCAGATGAAATACCAAATTTAATCATAGTCCCTGCTTATTGTGCTAGCCCCAGTTTCCCCCTTTTCAAAGAGTCACTTGGCCAGGTAACACGGAGGATGCCTACTTAGATTTGAATTTCAGATAAATGATGGGTAATGTTTTTAGCATAACTATGTTCTAGGTAATATTTGGGACATAGTTACCCCAAAACCATTTTTGTCTATTTGAAACTCAAATTCAACTGAATGCCCTGTATTTTTATTTATAAATCTAACAACCTTACCTGTAGAGGACACTCAGGAAAACCCCATGGTAATAAGAATCATTTATAAGTGACTTAAGACCCAGAACCTGTGCTAGTTGCTTAGTGTGATTTATTTTGCAGTTGTCATGAAAACCCAAATCTGGAGTGTCTTGGTTACTTTTTTCTTGTTGCTGGGACAAAACACCTGACACCCAAAATGAAGGAAGGAAAGGTTTGTTTTGCTCAGATGGCTCTTAATTTATTAGAACACTTTGGTTTCATTCCTGAATGTTAGCGGTGTGTGCATGGGGGAGGGGCAGTTATAAAACTTTTGGTTCTTATAGAAATGACCATGATACTGATCTGTTATTTGTTCCGAAGAAGATCAATATGAAGATTTCCCTAGATATGGTTCATCCCTACAAGCAGCAGCTGTGCTTGTGTCGGCTGAGACGTGCTGTAAATGGCGGCTGTTGCTATTTGTTAACATTTTAAATACTGTCCACTACTGTTATGGTTTGGTTATGATTTGAAGCTTAGTTCCTAGTAGGGCAGAGTTAAGGCAGCAGAACCTTGAAGAAGTAAGGCCTCAGGCTGGGGATGTAGCCCAGCAGTAAGGCGCTTGCCTAGTGTGTGTGAGTCCTGGGTTGCTCCAAAACAAAATAACAATGGAATGGGCCTCAGTCATGGGGGCATGGCCTCAGCAGGGTTTGACCTTCCTAACTAATGAGACCAAGTTCTTTTCTAGGAGGACTTGTGATAAAATGAGGCTATCCCATGTGGCTAGACTCTCCTACGAGGGGCCAGTACTCTTTCTACTTCTCCCATGTTGTAATGCAGCCAGATATTCTCACAAGAGACAAGAAAAGCCTGGTGCTATGCTCTTGAACTACCATAGCTTGAGATAAATAAACCTCTGTTATTTATAAATTACCCAAATTCAGGGATTTTTGTTATAGCACAGCAAAACAAACACAACCACTTTTTACAAAAAAGGTGTATGATGGGCTGGGCGTGGTGGTGCACACCTGCAATCCCAGCATTCAGGAGGCTGAAGCAGGAGGATCACCATGAGTTTGAGGCCAGCCTGGGCTACAAAGTGAGTTCAAGACCAGCCTGAATTTCACAGGTAAACCCTGTCTCTAAAAGAAAAAAAAAAAAAAAAAAATAGGGTCTGATATGAGCCAGGTGTGATAGAGCATGTCTACCATCCCAGCTATTTGGGATGCTGAGACAAGCTCAAGGCCAGCCTGGGCAACATGGTGAGACCGCATCTCAAAAAAGAGTTTATGATACGATCTAACATGATAATTTAATAAATGAAAAATTCAAATGACCAACTCAAGTGTGAAAAGATTACTTAATAATTTGGTTACAAAGTATTTGCAGGAGTAGAGGTATAGGTAAAACAAGAATGGCAGAATGTTGATTTATTGAAGCAGGGTAATGGATGTATAAGGTTTGCTATACTCTGTCTACTTTGTATTTACTGGAAATTTTCCAGAACAGGATTTTTTTTTAAGTTGGGCAGGGCTGCAGATGTAGGGGAGCAGCAGAGTGCTTGTCTAACATGGCCAAGGCCTGAGTTTGATTCCCAGCACTGGAAAAATCAAAATGGCAGCAAAGTTTAGACAGCTTTCCTGATGTACATGTTTTTGTTCCTGTAGTGAAAAATAACCAGAAGACGGTAGAACTTTAATAGGTTTCAAAAGTGCTATTTAAAAGAAATAAAAAGCTGATCCCACCACAAGGAAACCAAATAATTCTGGAAACATAAGGCAGTTTTTTAAAAAATTTACAATTAATGACCTTGGAAAAATTTGAGGGGCTATTGATCCATAAAACATGAAAAAGTTCATATATACATCTTTATTTTTTTGTCTTTTTGAGACAGGGTCTCGCTCTGCAGTTCAAGCTGGTCTTGAGCTCACTTTGTGGTCCAGGCTGGTCTTGAACTTGCAGCAATCCACCTGCCTCAGCCTCCTGAGTGCTGGGATTACAGGTGTGCACCACCACACAATCCTCCTGCCTCAGCCTCCCAAGTGCTGGGATTACAGGGGTGCGCCACCATGCCTAGCCTTTCATATACACATCTTAGGAGAAATCAGATGAAGTATTATTTGAAATTTTTAAAAAATTAAGAAATCAACCTAAAAGCTGAATGGAAGCTCAATGGACTCTCTCAAAGTGTAAAACAAGAAGAAAGAGAAAAAGAACTATTTTTAGAAGTCCAAAGACATAGATAACCAAAGAAGAACAATATTCAACTAAGAGTTCCAAAAGAACATTAGAAAATCTAGAGGAGTATATAATGAGAGAAATAACAGAAGAAAATCCCTAGAAGTAAGGCAAAGATGGGTGTTTTCAGAGTCAAAGAATGTACTGAATGCCCAATAATTAAAAATAGACTCATACTTAACCATAACCTTGTGACTTTTATAGTATATAAAATATTACATAAAGTACATAAAGTCCTGAGAGGATCCTATAAGCTTCTAGAGCACGAGCAACAGTTAATTATAGCAAGTGAAATCTGATCAGCACCACTCTTCCTATCACTAGCACCCAAGGTGGGAAGACAGAGCACTGAAGTCCGGCGAGGACATGTTAGGACTTAGCAAGTCCACCCCTTGCAAATCCTTCTGAAAAAACGTTAAGGATGAACCAGTAAAAAGCAAAAGGGACTCAAGAAGGAGGAAGAACTCAGGATCCAAGAAACAGTAGTCAGGACGCAGGAGTGTGGCGGAGTACGGGACAGCCGGCCAAATGAGCAGCTAGTTTTCAGCAGAGAGAAGGTCTTCAAGCGGGAAGTGGGCTCTATGCCACAGACAGTAAGATGAAGACGTGGAGAAAGTTCAGCGGAACAAGGAAAAATTATGTGCTTTTTTATTGGGAAAGAAAAGGGAGAGTAATTAAAAGCAACAGAGACCAGTTCTACTGCTTTCTAAGTAAAAAGCAAACTAAAATGTGGCATCGTGCTAAGCAGCTAGTGGTGTGTTTGAAAATGTAATTACTTGATTTTGACGTTTGGAGCACCCTCATTCTAGCGGCTCAGGTTCAGTGACAGCGGTTTGGCTTTTCCATTCTGACAGATGCACTTGTTCCCTGGTGAATACTATTTACATAATTCAAAGACTATCTGGCAATTGCAGTTGATTTGTCTGTACTCAGGGCCAACTGAATGACCAGTTACAGAATAAAACGTAAGTGTTTTGTTCTGGCAATAGAAAGCTAATGCTGGAGCTGACTAAAATCAAAGAGTTTATAGAGAAGTGGAAGAGTTGAAGGCAAAAAAAGTGTTAGCTTTCCATCACTGTGACAAAATGCCTGAGGTAATTACCTTAAAAGGAGGAAAGATTTATTTTGGTTCATGGTTTCCAAGGTCTCAGTCTATGGTTAAGTTTATGGTTTCCAAGGTCTCAGCCCTGGGGCTGGGGATTTAGCTCAGCGGCAAAGCGCCTGCCTGGCAAGC